TTGTAATTAATTACCCAATCTGCTATGCAAAGCAGCCTTATATGTATAACTCTTCTAACTTATCCATGCTAGATATTACTCCTTGAAGAGATGATGTAATATCTAGAATCAGTAGCTCTCTCTTTCAAGTTTGCAAAACTTTCAGGCAGCCGACATAATTTCAAGTTTGTTAAGTGTTCCAATCATAGATACGTCTGTTATGAATATGCAATTATCCAAAGAGAGAAGGCGCGGGAAGAAGTGACAAGTACTGAGTTGAGGAGGGTAAGGACTTGAATCTTGCACCAGTAAAATCCAAGACTTTTAATTTAGAGCTCCCATACCTTGAAGAATTTAGCTTTAACTTATTGTTATCCTGAAGCAATACAGTCTCTGTTTCAAGGCAGTGTATTACTCCATCAGGTAGGTTTTCAAGATGATTCGACATGAGTGAGATTGCTCCACATGAGCAGGCTAACATTTTCCCTGGCCAGTTTCACCTGCTTAAGCTACGCTCTGGTCGAATCCTATTTGTATTGAAATATCACGTATAACATCGTGCATTTTGACAGTCTCCTCCTTAAGAGCAACAAGCAGCTTTGAGATCTTCAACTGTTTTATGAATATCGCCTCTTGATGTTTGGGATTAAGGACAGTTCCATGTCAGGGTTTGCTTGGGGATACTATAATCTTCAGTAAAGAAGGAGCACATCAGGAACATATCATTTGACTGTAGCTCCGTTCTATGACGGCATATTTGAGATCTTCTTCTATAATGGATGGAGTTTTGAAACTATGGAGACGTGTAGCTGCCATTTCCCAATAGGTCAAGTCCTTCTCACTTTCAATTGTTGGAAGTGCTATTGGCAATCCCCTGCATTCCTCAACAATTTTCTTCCCTATCTCTTCAAAACCAGGTGGCATTATCTTCAACTTTTTGGGTGAACAATGTCCAAGGATCATCGCCTGAAAGGACATTGATTTGGATGACGGAGTAATATCTATCCAGATCGTCATACACATTCATCTGCCTTGTAGTGATTAAGATCTTGTAGTTGGGTTAAGCTTGGTTCAACACCCAAGCCTAGTTCATTTTGTCTTCAATATCACTAACACTTTTGCTCACCTATATTTTCTTCAACATATATTCTGGCATGGTTAAGCATGCATTTTTCCCTATACATTTTACGTTGTATTTCACTTTGCATAAAAACAACATAAAAGGGCCAAAATTACCCTCGAACTATTGAATTTGGACCATATATATATATACCTTCCGTTTTATTTTACTAGCAAAACTACCCTTGTCATTAACATAAGAGACCACAAATTTCCTTCAACTTAACCGGTCCTCTTTGTGCTGATATGACACCCAAAGTCGCAATCTAAATAGGATATGCCATTCCACCTTGAATGTCCAAGTTGGATCCATCAAGGTAGAGTGGCATATCCAGCTAGTTGGATCATTACGTCGAATGTCATATCAGCACAAAGAAGGGTCCGTTAAGTTGAAGGGAATTTTTGGTCCCTTGTGGTAACGATAAGGGTATCAAAATTAAATAGAGAGTATTGATCCAAATTTAATAGTTCGAAGATAGTTTTGACCCTTTTCTGTAAAAACAAAAATAAGGAGTAGTTACTTTTTATTAGAGTTGGTAATATATTACTCTTTATTAAAACTTCCCGACTTTCTCTCTCTATAGAAAGAAACAACCTTTTCAGCAAAAGAAAAACTAGTCACGATAAATTATTGCCACACCATGTATCCAATATCTTTGATTATTACCAAAATAAAAAAGAGTTCCCAAAATATACTTTGGGATACAATTTAGGACAAACATATATCCGTCAGAAAGCCACATAACGGTAAGGAAAGGAAATGAATCCATTTTTTGGTAAAAAATATTTTTTTCTTGGACAAGTGGCTACCATCCATTGCTAACCGAGGGACAAAAAAGAAGAGAAATTTGCCAGAATTCATTAGTTAATGAAAAGATGTCAACTCACTTGTGAATAAGTGGACGTCCAATTTGATTATTTATTTCACTTTTGGAACATTAAGAATCCTGTCCTTGTCATTTTCAGCATTAAAGATGTCAACTTGTATTTATTGCCTTGCATAGTACTTGAAAGATTACAGCCGCAAATTCAGTACTGTTTTGTGTTCAAAATTCTTAAATAGGGCGTCGGAAAAAATGATAAGAAATACTTTGCCTTTTAAAAGTTATTTTTATTCACTATGTGTTTTTATCAAGTCTTATTGTTTATATTTTCACTTTTTGCAATTCCATAGGTCACTCTTTCTTTTTAATCTTTATAGATGAACGATATATTTAACACCACAAACTTTAAAATACTTTTAGAAATATTACTGGGCGGAGCAAGAAGTTAAGGCTAGTTCCAGATGAATTCTTCCAAGGTATGAGAGGTCTAAAAGTCTTAATTCAACTCAGCACTTGTCATTTTATAGAGTGAAGTTGGAAGCATTTCTAAATTGGTTTAGGCCACAAAGCAGAGAAGGTTATGCGGGAATTTGAGCAATATCCTACAAGAATACCATGCAAATTTTGATGGCGTGAAATCTCTTTATGTACACCAGTGTGCCCAATTAATAAAGTTAATTGGGAAATGGATTTCCAAATCAACCTGGAAATTATTTCTACACTCGAGCGAGCGATCTTTTTGTTCCCCTGAATTGCAAAGGCTGCTGCATTTCCCAAGTGATCAGGAAATCCAACTAATTCCAGATCAGAATCAACTCAAGTGTCTCGAAACATTTTGAAATTCAGCTGTGTTAAAAATATTATGCAACAACACTTAGGTGCATAATTTTGAAGCAACATTTCTGCAACTGATACCAGTTTTAAAGATGCAATAATTTAAATTAATTGGTTGTTTTTGTTGCCTGGTTCGCAGTTACATATATTATTTGGTGCGCAATAGATCAAATGACACCAAATTAGACACAAACTATATATGTTCCAAAGTAGTTACTTACTTTGACTTGACAATTGAGAAACTGTAAAATAAACTAGACAGTACGCAAGCAAGCGATTTATACATTCCGACACAAAAGAATGTAAAAATCACCACCTATACATACTCCTGTAGGATTTCAGCCAAAGCCCTTTACAGCAATCCTAGACTGTTGATATATGTACCCTTTCAAGCTATCCCACTACTACACATAGAGGGGTTTTCCACCATGAATCAACTGGAAAAACATGATTTTCCCACCCATTAAACGCATGGTGAAAAATAGATTCTCACTAAAATACTAAAGAGCTTCCTAATTTTTTCGTGTGAAGACAGACACCACTATTTTTTCTTTTTCTCACTGATTCAATCAAAATACATGTGGGATAGTAATATTTTTCAGCAGAAAATTTTAGTAAGAAAATAATGATTTTTTTTAAATAGTGTCCTTAAGTTGAAACAAGAACAACTATGACAAGTGACTACCATCCATTGCTAACCAATTGACAAAATTTGTTTATGAAAAAAATATAAAAAGGAATTTTATTTTTTGGTCAGATTACATTAGTTAATGTAAAGATGTCAACGCACTTATAAATGATTCATGACATCCAATTTGATCATATTTGTTTTCACTTTTCGAACATTAAGAGAATCTTGTCCTGGTCAATTACTCTCTCAACTTTTATTATTCTCTTTATTTATTGCCTTACATAGTACTTGATAGATAACAGCCGCCGCAAATTCAGTATTGTTTGTGTTTTAAAAAAAATTCTTAAATAGGACATTGGGGCAGATAATAATAAGAAATACTTGGCCTTTTTAAGTTCTTTTTTTTTTTCTTTTTTCTTTTTTGTAATTTTAAACAAGAAATGGAATAAATCTAAAACCTGGAAAATGTGAATATCAGATAGGCAATGTCGATCACCTCCTATTTTGCATATTATGTAGCAACTTATAGTGTACACTTTCTCTTTTTCACTTTGATGTGTCACTCTTTTTCTTTTTGAGTTTGTATAGATCACAAAAATGTCATAATATATTTAATACCTTTTTTTTTTGTTTAGTTCGATTGTGGAATTCCTTTGTTTTAAGTGTGTGACTTTTTATAATTGATCTTATTGATACTACAGAGAATGAGTCTGTCATCTTGAGATAGAGATGGTTCTACTTCATCATATATTTATTCTAATATTTGGAACAGGAAATAGATTAAGAAATATTTGAACTATGATCGATTCGTACTTAATATTTGGACTCTGTCCGGGCACAAGCTCTATGTGCCTAAATATTTTTTTCTTTCTCTTTTGAACCTTGTGCCAAGTCTAACTCCGCTATATATAAAATGAAACAATGAGTATTATATTAATACATTAATTAAAATCATTTCCTTTATATATGAATGGAACGAATCACAAATAGCACTTCTTAAAATAACGTACACCAATAAGTATTGGCTTTTTTCAAACAGGGAATAAGTTGAAAGATCTGTTTATGTGCTTTAAAATATTAATGTACCCCTCAAACTATTCCCAGAATTGCAACTGTACGACCATAACTCATGGTTGTGATCATTTTTTTGTTTTTTAACGATAGTAGTTGTTGCGATTATCACCTTTAATTTGTATTTGGAGGGCATAGATGCCAATCGATGTACGAGATTGGCTTTTATTATTGGAAAACAGCTCTAAACACACTAACAAATTGATGGAAGATGGAGTTGAAATGCAGTGAATTTCACTCATATTTCACTTTTACTATAAGGTGGTCCCCTTGCTAATTTGCTATTATGCCAATGAAATCTACTTTTTGTTTATATATGAGAATTGCGCGCTTGGTGATGTTTTGCATCTGATGCTTGCTTATTACTTTTGTGAAATGAAAATTTATGTCTCTTGTGAATCTGATGCCTTTCTTTCCCTTTCATCTTCTTTCATGTGTTTCTTTTCTTGAAATGTCTATTTGAAGGCTTGAGCTTTTCTTGGACTATAAATAAGAGTAACATATTTGAGTTATTTCATTGTGGGACAATTTGGGTGAGTTTTAGTTTTTCACAAGTAGTAATAAAATAATTATATTTCAAGACTTTTACTATACTATCTATCAATGGCTAGCCAACAACCACCTCGTCCATTGTTCCGTTTTGCTTCCATGGTCCGTCCTGCTGCACAACCTGCACAACCTCCTCCAGCTTCTGCTCCACCAGCACCATCCCCACAACCGATGTTTCGACCTACCACCCCATTTAGGCCTGCGTCACCAGCAGTTACTGCTCCTCAGCCCCCTCAACCTCCAGTGCCTACTGCTCCTCCTGTTGCAGTAATTACTGCACCACCGCAACCACAAGTGTCAGTCCCAGGTAGCCCCATTTCACCACGGAGGCGTCAACCTGTGGCAACTTCACCACCAAGATCACCTGTTGCTCCTCCTCAATCTGTTGTTTCGCCACCAAAGGCTCCTTCACCACGTTCTCCAGTGGCAGCACAACCACAACGTGCTGCCACTGAGGTCCCTAAATCTCCTGTCATTAGTGCCTCTCCCGTCATTAGAGCCACCACGTCAGTGCCACAATCCCCATTCAAGCCATTAGCTTCTAATGTAACAACAGAGAGCGCTCCAACTAGAACCCCGTATTCTTCATTTCCGCCATCTCCAAAAACAAAATTGCCAGATTCTATCCAAACTCTCATCAATCAATCATCACCATCAAAAGCCCCCCCACCATCTCAAAATGTCTTCCAAACTCTCATCAATCAATCATCACCATCAAAAGCCCCCCCACCATCTCAAAATGTCTTCCAGCCTAATTTAGTGAAATCCCAGACTTACTCTCCTCAAACTAAGCCTGCAGTTTCTCACCCTCCATCCCCACTAAAGCTTCCCCCATCTCAACTTGAGCTTGAGTCCAAGATTCCTTCACATGTTGATCAGAAATCTGTTGTGGTCCATGAAACCACGAGGGCTAACGCTAATGGTCATCATGTCCTGCAGACTGCTAGAAATGGAAACACAGTGGAAAGTTGGAAACAAGAAACAGTTAAAAAAGATAAAGGGGTTCAGAAGAAGAAGGTGTCTAATTCGGATGCTGCAGATGACTTTGGAACGAGTGTGCTAACACTAGCTGGTGAAAACAAGGGAGCCATAATGGAGTTAAGCCCTTCAAGGAAGACATACAGCCCTCAGAGCCTTCAAAAGAAAGGAAGCCCAAAGTCTTGGAGTAGTGAGGATGATGGAGAGAAATCAGGGAATGAAAGTGGAAGGAAGGGAGATAGAATGCAAAATAAGTCCCTTCCTATGACTGCATTCATGAACAGCAACGTCCAAGGTATCAACAACTCCATTCTCCACAATGCTTCTTGCACTCACCATGATCCTGGTGTCCACCTTGTTTTTTCAAGAAAGACAAATGGTAGTAATGGCCTCCACATCAAGGGCAGCCAAAAGAGCTAAACTCATCATCATCTGTTTTTCATGGAGGGTCCTTTGTTTCTTTTAATATTTGAGAGAATAAATTGAGTGGTACGTCGAAAAGGACATTGATTCTGATTCTTCATGCATGGCTGCAATCCACTTCTCATGCACAAGGACCATCCTTTGGTAGGACAGAGAGATTCTATGCACAATGTTACCACAATAAAGCTTTCTTATTGTATTGAGCATCTTTTATTCTATATAATTTGTAAGTCTAATACAGAATTCGTAATGTCTTATCATGATTTCAAATGTATTTTGTAAAATATTGAATACCATGTCTGAGTTTGGTTTTAGTATAGTTGCCATCAGAAGTGCAGTTTTTTTATGTTCAGATGCCTATTATGCTCATGCATTTATTCTAACATATTCCAATCGTATTTGGTTCACTGAAACAGAATTGCTTCTATCAAAAGCAGCTGTTTTGATTCGTAAGTTTGGGACCATTTGACATGGCCAGAATAATAAAATGTTTTTTCACTACAACACCCTCTCGAATATTACCTAGTTGATCACATTAGCCTAACAATCACTAAAACCTTGACATTTAAGGTTCAAATCTCATTTGCCTAAGTCTTAATACAGCTGAACGTATGTCAGACACCACCATTAAACTAAATAGTTAAGATCATTACTAAAACTGAAAGTATGCACAATCACATAGTTAAACATTAGAAAAACTATATACAATTAAGCATGAAGATCATCAATTACATAGTTATGGACAAACGTTCACGTACGATTACAAATATGATATAAAAAGAAGACTCCAATTATTACCTCTGCAAAAAGTTGAAGGCAGTGTGAAGTGGAGGAAACGGTGACTGGCCGCCGGCCGGCAATAGATTTTGGGGCTATTTGGTTGATTGATTTGGGGCTTGGGCTGCTATGAAGAAAGGGCTAAAGAATCAAGAATGGGCCTTATAGTGTGTTTTGGTTCAATTTTGGGACAAATTACTTAACTACACTCCTTTACTTACCTTAATATTCATTTATCCCTATTTATTTCAAAAATCCCTTATTTCCCCCAATTAATAAAATCTGTAAGATACATAAAGATTTCCCACCTTTTTTACGGCCAATACCTGTGTATTCCGTGTACAACACTATGTATCTCGTGCACAACGCTATGTATCCCACTATGTGGAATGTATCAAACGCTATGTATCCCGTGCACAACATTATGCATCTCGCATGTATCCCGTGCACAACGCTATGTATCCCGCTATGTGAAATGTATCAAACCTAATGTATCCCGTGCACAACGCTATGTATCCCGCAAACATCATTTTTAAGGGATTTTTGGTAAATAGAAAACTATAAGGGATAGGATGTTATTTAGTACTTATAATATGTGGTTCATATAATTTATATTAAATTTTGAGTTGTTCTTACCGGCCCAAGTACACACATTTTGGTCGTCTTCAATCTTTTTTGACAAAACTAATTTGCGAGTCAAAATATTCTCATCTATAACTTAAAATTTTGTAACGTATAAGTTTAGATAAATTTTGTTCTTGTTCCACATAAGTTTTATAGAAATAAGTTAAGACATAACTTTGTAAGTTCTGAAACTGAACTCTATGTCTCAATCAGCATAACTGTAAGGCATATTTTGTGGGTTCTGAACTAAATATATTCCTCTAGCAGCATATTTTCTGTAGAAATTAAGCAATAGAACTTGTTATGAAGTATAAAACATAATTAGTATTGTATTAATGAAAAAAAATATAAACTTATGTCTTGTAAATATTGTTATTTTTTAAAAAGTATTTACATACATTTTTTGTTACTTAAGAGTATCTGAAGAACAAAAATTATAATGATTCAAGCCACATAAATTGTGTTTTTCACCGTAAAATCTTTTGAGGATGTGAGTTTCATGAGTAAATGTTGTGCAAGGTTTGGAGAAGACGAGACTATAAATAAGCTTGGTATCATGAAAGAGCTATTGGCTTCACCTATAAAAAAGTACTTGGTCTATTTTATTTTATTTTGTATACATCAATATATACATATCTTGGAGAATAAGACTCCAAAATTATCATTGTTAAGGACTCCTAATTTGAAAATAATTATACAACTTTTAAAAGTTAATTCCTAACAATCAATAAATATGTACAAATAGTCTTTCATTCAAACTCCTAAATGACACTATCATTACACTAGGTAGCCTTTTTTCTTAGAGATGTTAATTGGAATATGGATAACGTTATGTAAATTAAAGTAGTTAAAAAATAAATAGAAGCTTACAAATACAATCTTTCTAGAGTTCAAACCGCTACAAACGAAATTCCATAATTGTGTCAAAAAATCCGAAACTTAACAAATTAAAATTGCTAAAATTCAGGAGATTAATTATATGAGTGAAAGTCCAAAATAATACACTACTATAATACAAAATTTTTACAAGACAGACTCTGCACACTATCTTGATTTGGATTTATATCATTCTACATTTAGATTGGGAAAAGGATTAGAAATATATTCAAATTTTTATTGAAATTGTTGTAACAATCTCAAAGTTTATGAAAGATCTATTACGTCATGCATTATTTAATAGTGTATTTTAAAGATATAAAGGTGATTACGTGGACATCATAAATATTGCATCATTATAAATAGTAATTTGTTCAGCTAGACACTTATATATCTTTAAAATACACTATTAAATAGTAAAGGGGTGTCATAGGTCATGTCCAAAAATTAGAATTGGTACAACAATTTCAGTCAAAGTTTATATATTTCAGACTTTTTTCCCTCATTTAAGTATGGCAACTTGATATGGTCCAGTCCGGAAAACCTTTATATTTGTGCATGTTTTCATCTATCAATCTAACGAATATTTTCTTGTTAAATTTATTTGTTTTATTTTACTGTTTAGTATGTTTTAAAAAGGAATGCTACTTTAAATATTTAGTACTTTCTCAATCTCAATTTAGTTTGATAATGTTTTCTTTTTTAGTTAGTTCAAGAAAGAATAATATCTTTTTAAATTTTTAATTTTATTCTAATTGAAATAATTTATAACAACATATATATCTATGATTTGTTTTAGTTTATAAATATTTCTTTTTTTTTGGCCATGTGAGTCAAATTATGATATGAAATCATATATAATAAAATTGAAGTTTTGTTTGGACGTACTGAAATTCTAAGTTGTATTATTTGCTCATAAATATAACAACCTCATAAATTGTGAAAACTGCCAAAGTTGTCTCAAGTATTTATACAATCTTACCAAATAAGCAAAAGTTCATGACAAAAGTGTAAGACACTATCACATAGCTATTCTAATCTTACCAAATAAGCAAAAGTTCATAAGAAAAGTATAATACACTATCACAAAATTATTCTAAAAAAATACAATATTTAATGGTCGAATTTTATCTTGGTGAAAGGGTAAAATTGAACATGATTGGTAGTGTCTTACTCTTCACTTTGAGTTGTTTGTTGTTCAATATCATTAGTAAATATATCATCATATGAATATTCCATAAATATTTCATCATTCCTTTGATATTCTCACCAAAAATTTATATAATTTTTGCATTTGAAAAAATGTGAAATGATCATGATATGAAATTTCCAAATTTTGGAGAATTTGAGATTGAATCGCATGATTTGAAATCACGAGATGAAATCGAATGTCCAAACATTGATTTGAAATTATGAGATGAAATCACATGTCCAAAAAAAGCTCATTTTGATCTCAATAAAGAAAGAGAAACCATTTGAGTAACTGTAATTTTTCTTTATTTGAAAGGCAAATCATATTCGAAAATTTTTCCAGAGATGGCTGCAGCAACTGCAGCTGTGAAAGTAGGGCTGCTGGTTAAGGAAGAAGCCATTTGTTGAACTAAATGTTGTTGTAATGAATTTGTGTCAATATCTTCCATGAATTTGTTAGAAAATGTTGGATCTGTTGTAACATCTTGGTTGACTAATGGTACTGTTATTTCAGTTTGGGATGGATGAGGATGGTTGTGCTCCCCTTCATATACAGCTACTAAAATTGATGGATCTTCAATGCTTCTTTGTACCTATATATAAAAGTCGAGAATTGTTCAGGATCATATAAGGAGATCAACGATCTTCTATCCAATATCAATGTGAAAATCTAATTTTCTCTTTAACAATATAAATTTTTAGTTGTGGTGGTCTTAAATTTCACTGTGTTATCAAAGTAGACAAAGATCTTGAATTCAAGTCTCATTTGTAATTGTTATAAAAAAAATAATATCCTACACATTTGGACTATGAAAAAGAATTAGATTGCATGTGAAAAGGCGTATTGAAATTATTATACACGTTGGTTGAGATTGAACTTACTGAGGTTAGATCGCATGTGAATAGACGTGTTAGAATTATTATACAATTTGATTGAGATTAAATTTACTGAGGTTTAATTGCATACGAAGAGACATGTTGAAATTATTACACACTTTGATTGATATTGAACTTACTGAGGTTAATTAATCACATGTGAAAAGACGTGTTGAAATTTTTACTCTTTAATTGAGATTAAACTTATAAAGGTTTGGTCGCATGTGAAGAAAGTGTTGGAATTACATCCCTCCAATGTTCAAACCTCAGTAACTAAGTGCGTGTGATCATTTGACCATACTTGACAAACCTATACGATAATAATTCTTTTCCCTCCTAAAATTAAATCTTTAATTATTTTCAAATAAAATTTATGTTCAAACGTAACTTCAACTTCTAAAATACTTATTTTTAATCCATCATCATTAAGGTTTGATTACATGAACTAACCTTCTTCTTGACTGGGCATGTTGGTGCAAATGAACACTTATAATATGCTCTAGGATAAGGGTTATCTCTTGTAACTTTTTGACCATATTTTCTCCAGTTATATCCATCCTTCACCACCTGTAAATTAACCGCACCAAAAAAAAAAAAAAAGTTATTAGCGGAGTTATATATATACCGTCTCTTTATGTGATACACTTTTATTTTAACACGTCCCATAACTTTTGGGACCATCTCTTTTAAAGCCAATATATACCTTTCATATGTTTTGAAAATAAATGAAACATCTCTATAACAATATTGTTTGATTGAATTATTTTTATTGTTATAGAGAGGGTGTTTGACTGTATGTTTGAAATTGAGAAATATTTTGAACTTACTGAGGTTTGATCGGATCGATTAGTTTTGACACAAACAGTTGAAACATTGGTTGTGATTTCTCTTGGCCTCTTTGGTGATGCTTCTTCAAAATTATTCACACAACACTCTTCTTCAGCTTTTCTTTTCCTTGGTAATAATAAAT